GTGAATTGCTCTCTGTGCTCAATCAATTTTGATATAAGAATAAAAGTAAAACGGAGCTGAGTCTCGGGCCTACTTAATACGTTTCTGTACTTTGACATTTTGTAGTAGATGGACAATTCAACTGATCTTTTTGGGCTGTCTGAGACAGCGACATTCTATTGCTCGGGCATCGCACATCCCGATACAAAGCCGTAATTATGCAAGGCAATATATTTAGAGAGGCTGTCGAATCTTTCTTCATATATTCTGACGTCATTTATATGTAAGGACTTAAATTACCTTTGTTGCTTTGTATGTGTTTTGAAATGGATCATTTGAGTCCATCGATGAAAATGAGTTGCTTTCCAATTGGAAGTTGTGGTGGCAATCAAGCACCGATGTAACAACCGCCTCAGGCGTCGAATACATCGAGACAGGAACCACGGAACCCTCGGGCTCTTGATCAGTCTGCACTTGCCCCACACTCTCAGTAGAATTGGCTGAGCCAATTGTGCTGTCACATCATTAAATATCACTTGAACCGAAATCCCGTGTCCAAAAGTGCTGATCCTCGATGTCCATTCCGCAAGTGTATTCTGGCGCAAACATCGTATCCTCGCCCATGATGATGACGAGATGCCCCGGAGAGTCGATCGACGACACCATCACATCCTCCTCGTCTCTCTGACCAGATGCCGCGTTTTCAGCCCTGGCGTTCCATTTGTAATTGGCTTGTATAATACGGTCGATACGGTGGATCTTTGGGATCCCAAGTTATTCCCAGCAGCCACCTCATCCGATTGGAGCTGGTCAGAATCGTGCAGTTTCTTAATTGAACACATAGGAGATAAGCCATGAGTGGAGCGGTGCTCGTTGACAGCGACCAACATGGTTGTTGCGTTTTGTTCGTAGGACGTGTAGGTATTTCTTTGAAGCCATCCTTTTCGGAATCCCGGAATTATAATGAATACTGATATTCCGGCTCTTATGAGATTTTACAATGCAATGTGAAATTCGTACAGCTGTTCCATGTTGGAATTACTACAATTGTACCAAATTGTGTATGATGAAAGGTCACTGTACAAGATTACAGTGGCCAGACCGGGCTTTTTTTACATTGCACAAAGGTGATCGCTACATGCGCAACCACTGCGCCTGAATTCCATCCCACTCTCTGACATCTTATACTCTTATTGGCATACTTGCACGAAAATCCGTTCCCATGCACAAACTCAATTGGTTGAACAAGCTCTTACAAAAAATGTGATCTTCTCGATCGACGCGCTTGAAAAGATTCTCAGTAGGGTTTTCACTGAAAAACCAACCCAGCGACTCTTCGACTCCCGACCAAATACCTCGATGATACATGACTAAGCCATTTCCCAAGCTAAAGGCACTTGCTGCGCTCAGACAACCTGCTGCACTTCGTGTCCTTTTCCGTCAGCTGGAAGTGTGTGGACACCTCACCGTGAAGCGCAAGACAATGTACTGTTCGCTGGAACTGAGCTGGATCTGGTCCAAAGGGCCTTGTTTTACTGCATGCGAAAGTGTCACGCCATTTTGTCCGACTCACGTCGCGATCACATATTTAAATCGTCCAAGTCGCTCGCTTCGGTGGTGCGGGGCTCCTGCACGCCTATGATTGTGGGTTTATCACTGGCACCCACGTCACTCCACAAGTATTTGCTCAATCGACGGATATGAGTCCCTACAAGTACAGTCTGCGCTTAGAGCCTCAACGGTTAGGGGGACACGTACCCCCTTTCAGGCGAACGTGACGCTTAGATTTAAACTTAGCTTGCGCATTTGGTATAAAAACGCTGTCTCGCCCGCCAAAAGGCTTTGCATGCCAGCTGCAGCGAATGGACGCCCACCCATAGCATCATCACATGATTGGCCTTGCAGACCACAAAAACACGACACGGATGTCGAGGTGACAATTCATCGCGTCCCATTCCTGCTGCTTACAACCTCGCTTGTCATTATGAGAAAGCAAAAATAGCAATCAACTAAGGTCTTATCAGCAGCAAGATCGATTGCATCTTCGAGTGGAGAGCGTGCTGGGTCGAGCGACCTTCCGTCTTGAATCATAATGGGAAAGGATGCACCTGGTTATTTGCGGCGACGGCAACATAGCATTCTTTCCAAAGGTGAATCTAAACTCCCACGTGCTTAAAACTGAAGATAATTTCTCCGCTTCACCAGGTATTATTAACAGCTTTGCTGTGTTCGCTGGCCCACCGAAGGCTTTACGTGAAAGTAAACCTCTTCTTGCTCAATGAGCAGTGCCGGCATAGGTCAACCCTTCCGCAGCTGACTCTCGTAAGCTCCCTTGATTGTGGCGGCACATTGAATCTGTTTGAAAATTCGGAGTCACAGGGTGCGCTAAAAATTGAAACGATCCAGACTATGACGGCGCTCATTTCAGCTTGGTCGTATTTCTTGCTTGAGGTACATATACCGGTATCGCTGCTGATTTGGAACAGAGGGTGGCTTAGATACAAAGAATGTATGCAACGCTTCTTCGTATGCAAAATCATCTTCACGTCCGACTGTCTTCTCAGAGTGTAACCGTCGTAAGACTTCAATAAGCCTATATAGAACACAGGTGAGTTTGTATTCCCTTTAGGATGGATTTAAAGTAAAGCTCAATCCTTATTTTGCTTCTAAACGTTCCGATTTAGCGCGGTCGCACCTTTGCCATGCGAAGGTATATGATTGCATGAAAAAAATTTTCCATCACAACATTTTCGTGTGTTCCACCTGTTTCTGGCATTGGTGTGTTTGGACATTCTGAAATTCAGCTATAGCGCCGCAGAATCTGCGTGCTATGCTTGTCTTTATTGATGTCAAAGCACTTAATTTTTTTATGAATTGTAATCGTGCTGATATAAGCAAGCCATATTTGGTCGACAGCCTCTCCCGGAGTTGTTTCGTGGCTATTTGAAAAGCATCAAGGTTTTTCTCAGAACCACTTATATCAAATAAGGCAAAGTTGTGAGAGGCATTTACTGAATTCAACTCAACTCAATGCGTGGGACAGCTCGCTCCAGTACGATCTCTTTACTTTAGTGGTGCTGACGGCATTATTCACAACGGAATTCAAGCGTTCCGTCTGACTATGTGTTTACTGACGGTCATCGGTTAACATATCCAATCTGATGCTGTGCAGCTTGAGCAATATATGCCAACGTTGTTGCCTTCGTTTTACAGCGCGAATTTGTATCTCATGCAAGGGCTACCGGCAAGCTATTTTGGTGACATATTTTGTTGAGCAACAGCTGGTTGTGCCCTCTCCAGGGACACTATCGTGGTGAGCAGCAACGGTCCACCAAGAGCACAATACTGGCATTATCGGACGCATCTTACGAAAAACCGAAAATGAAGTCCATCCTTATGAATTAACAGCACTATGTCGGAACTGGTGAGCTGGCCAAAGGTGCCACCACGTTGCGTCGAGGATATAACTCGGCTACACGTATTAAACAATCGCTCATATGAAAAAGCAAGTTTTTCACTTTAAGTCACCAATACACAGAGCTCACCAGGCGCTTATCTCAATGTAGCCATATCTTGAGCCTCGTATATTTTGCACTTGACGTTCTAGCACCACAACGCACTATGTGTCATGTGGTTAGTGCTGTAATACAGCAAGCTTTGGGATAAGTCAATAAGGTGTAGGCGTTAGACCGCGCGAGCAGATTAAACGACATCATGATTCTCAGTTTCCTTGTTTTCAAACTCTCTCGACTGTGCAGCACATGTTGCGTCTGACCTCATCGCCTCAGCACTGCTCGATGTCACTCCGAGCGCTTATGTTGTCTTTTTATTTTTTTGTCTGCCGGGACAAAACGTGCTTTCCGAAGGCTATGTCGGCAATAAGTAAAAGCTTAATCAAGGCCAAACAAGCTTATATTTAAGACAGCAATTGCAGTGGAGATACCGTAGCTCTTCGCTTAAAGAAAGCTAAGGTAAGGTCACCACCATTACGTTTCTTAAAAGAACCAGCGGATCTCAATCCGCTACTTCTAAGTACTAAAGGCTTACCAAGGCAAACGAACACTTCTGTTCAAACCCTAGGTTCTACTAATTAATATAGTAATACCTCATTAATATAGTAATATGCATTACTAAGTGGCTTCTTATTACGGTGTAGCCACACCACTGTGTTATAGCACTGGCTGTGTAATCAAACCTATAAACCGTCGCACAAGATTGTGCGGTCCGTCCTTCTCGTGTAACCTCGTTACAGCAATCGATAAATTGACGTTAAAGAATAGCAGTTCAATTGGAAAAGTATAGGCATTCGGACCATGTCTTCGAAGTGATCGGTGAGCTTTCGCTGAGTCCCGTAAATGATAGTAATCTTCATCAGTATGATTGTCTTAGAGTGCTGTTTTACCTGGTAAGTAAACGATAGATGCAATCAAAGCCGTTCGATTTCGAGCACTATTCTATTATCAGTTTTTTAGAGTAATGAGACAAATTACAAACATAAGGAATATTATGCAACTTTGCACCTCTTTGAAACGCGCTCATCACTCGTATTTTCTATTTATCTGTCTGCAACCGCTTTTGAGGACTTAGCTGGCACGAAATGAGTAAAGTTAAATTATAGCACAGCCCCTTAAGCGAGAGGCTCTCGGTTCCGCTCCTGGGTGAGCGTGCTCGGTGCGTTAATTGAATAGGACTCATTGTAACGTCCTCTATTTTCGACCTCCGTCGCAAAAGGGCAGCAGCGATATTCCCAACAGAATCACTTGCGTTCTCATCACCAGTCTTTATCCTGCCCCTGACTCAATTTATCAAAGAGTGGTTACTGCTAATAAAATACCCCAAAATATCGTTCAGTAACCTTAATTAATGTGATCAGGACTTAAGTATTTTTTTTCTATTTGTTGTGGTTGGTTACAGCCTGAAACCTAGCTAACATATATGGTGACAAAACAATTTTCCAATAAATGCTTTGCTTTACTGCTAAAGCATGCTATGATGGACTTATGTTATGCCAAAGTCTACGGTTACAATGCAAGTGTATACGATGCAAAGATATGGAGAAGGATGCATTGATGTATGTTGTGCAATGCATACATGCAAGGTTGAATGGTCTAAGTGATTGAAAAAACTTTGAAACAAACAGCCTAAGTTTCCGCATTTACCTCTCTGCTCCTGTTTGAGAAAAGCACCAAAAGGGGAAGAGAATGCTTGTTTACCTGCTCAGGACGATCAAGGAGCTAGTCTAGAAAGCAACACGGCGGCTTCGAATAGGTAGACGTCCGAAAGGTTTGCTAAAAAAGACATACGGGAGATGATCGTACGGACGGGAACAAACAGATCGAAAGGCGGTGCTCAATTACTCTTTCATCGCCAAGAAACTCAAAACTCTTCTTAATTATTCAAACGTGATTTCTTTCCAGGCAAGACCAAAGATATATCAATGTGGACATGTTAAGCTACCAGGATGTAGAGAAAGAAGAAACATCTTAAAAGAGAATACCAAATTTTAAAATAACTATCTTGTGATTAATTTGAGAATAAAGATAGCATGCAAAATACTTGATGGTAGCCAGCGAGCCAGGTTCACACTTTACATATCCATGGGTGTGGCCTCCTCTTTAGCTTTCGACTTTGATTTCAAATTGCTATTCTCTTGTTCTAGCTGCTTCTGTTGTTCCTGCTTCTTCTGTTGCTCCTGCTTGATAG